CCTTGCAACTGCTCAGGAGGAGTATCACTTGCCAAAGCACAAACTCATCAGTGAAACACCAACAAGATGGGGCTCCCGTCAACAAATGGTGAAGCGGGTTTTGGAGCAGAAAAGGGCCATCACAGAGGTCCTCTCAAAGGACAGGAAGACCAAGCCGCTGGTTCCTACCTGGCAAGATGTGGATGTTTTAGAGTCTATAGATGCAGCTCTAAGCCCACTCCTCGAATTCACTGATGCATTGTCCGGTGAGTCCTATGTCAGTGTATCATTCCTAAAACCGGTGATGCATCTCTTCAACACCTCCATCTTGAAGGAGGCAGAGGATGACACCGAGCTCACCAGGACCATAAAGACAACAGTGATGGGATACCTCAATGAAAAGTATGATGACCCAACCATGGATGATCTACTTGATATGGCATGCCTTGTTGACCCAAGATTCAAGCTTCAGTACACTAAGGAGGAGAAGAGAGAATACATCAAAGAGAGAGCTGTGTTGGAGATGCTGAAGGGAGAGAGAGCTGATGTGGTAAGGGAAGAGGAGTCCAGAAAAGAAGCCATGGGAGATGCTTCTGCACCAGCCAAGAAAACAAAGCAGTCTCTGGCTAGCTTTTTTTCAAACAGGCCCACCACTACTACAGTTTTTAAGTGATTTTATAGGCAATTAATTTGGTCTTTAGTCAAGACATACATATTTGAATGGATTATACATACAGCAGTTCTCTCAATTAAATTCAAAGGTGTTTTACTGGCATGGGGAACAGATGTTTACTTTGCCAAATCAGGTGTGAAAAAAATTATGTAAGCAGGAGAATTGTGAATTTTTCCGTAAGAATAGTATTATTAATAATAATATAAATTGAAGTTAAAATATAAATACAAATGATAACTATATTGCGCAATCTGCAATATTTTCTCTCTCTCTCTGTCTACAGAGAAAGTTAACCAAGACAAACGAGTGGACAGAGCAATTGGGGTCTGTAAAAAGGTGGTGGCTGCCTTCTCCTATTCCTGGAAGAAGAACAGGATCTTGCCACTGCTCAGGAGGAGTATCACTTGCCAAAGCACAAACTCATCAGTGAAACACCAACAAGATGGGGCTCCCGTCAACAAATGGTGAAGCGGGTTCTGGAGCAGAAAAGGGCCATCACAGAGGTCCTCTCAAAGGACAAGAAGACCAGGCCGCTGGTTCCTACCTGGCAAGATGTGGATGTTTTAGAGTCTATAGATGCAGCTCTAAGCCCACTCCTCGAATTCACTGATGCATTGTCCGGTGAGTCCTATGTCAGTGTATCATTCCTAAAACTGGTGATGCATCTCTTCAACACCTCCATCTTGAAGGAGGCAGAAGATGACACAGAGCTCACCAGGACCATAAAGACAACAGTGATGGGATACCTCAACGAAAAGTATGATGACCCAACCATGGATGATCTACTTGACATGGCATGCCTTGTTGACCCAAGATTCAAGCTTCAGTACACTAAGGAGGAGAAGAGAGAATACATCAAAGAGAGAGCTGTGTTGGAGATGCTGAAGGGAGAGAGAGCTGATGTGGTAAGGGAAGAGGAGTCCAGAAAAGAAGCCATGGGAGATGCTTCTGCACCAGCCAAGAAAACAAAGCAGTCTCTGGCTAGCTTTTTTTCAAACAGGCCCACCACTACTACAGAAGGCTTGAGTGCACAGCAGGCAGTTGAGAGGGAGCTCAGCAACTACCTTCTTTCTCCAGATGCTGACAATGATTCAAATCCTCTGGACTGGTGGAAAGTCTATCAAAAACTTCCCCAGTGTAAGCCAACTGGCACAACATTACTTGTGCATTCAGGCCACAAGCTCCCCCTCTGAGAGGGTTTTTAGTACAGGTGGCAACATTGTCACATGTAAAAGGGCATCCCTGAAGCCAGATAATGTAGACCAGCTTGTATTTCTTGCCAGAAACCCCTAGAGCCTGTCATAGGGTGTTATCAACACTCAACAATGTTCCTGCCAGAGCAATATGTTTTTGTTGTTGCTCACTCTTTTTTTATTTAATTTTATTTTTATTTGCTCACTTCTTTATCCAGGCTGAAGCAGTTTGTTGGTTGTTTCAATCTATAAGAATAATCAGCCTGTTATAGTTTAAATGAAAATATATTATTGTTAATAAGGTGAGTCTGAGAGTTTTATTTATTTGATAGTTTGTTTATTTCACATTTCTTGCTTGTGAAGGCTAAATACAAATAAAAAGTGAACATTAATTTATTTGTATCGTTTTTATTTCTAAAAATTATATAGTTTTATAGGAGGAGGTATTATATACTTGGCAAATTAAATTTTCAGACGTTTGTAGGTACAGACATCCATTGTGGCTTTTTTTTAATATTCATATCGATATCGGAATTATATCGTATCGACCGAAATTAAGAAATATATCGTGATATAAATTTTGGCCATATCGTCCAGCCCTAACCTCAACCCTTACCATGCTTTTGATGCAGTAACGGTAGTTTTACCCTGTTATGAGTAGTTAAAGCACAGTAACCATAACTATGGTAACTCAACACTGGCTATGTTCAGACTGCCAGTCCAAATCAGATTTTTGTGCATATTTGAAATCCGATCAGATTTAATACATAGCAGATGTACAGCTACATACTTAGAAGATGTGAACAACGCGCACATAAAAAAACCATGAAATTCTATTTTTACAAATCCTGTTTCAAGCTACATTCATATGTGGTTTAAAATCCTGTTCAAATTGCATTTCTGGAAATCCGTTTCAGTCTCACCACTCAGATCTTGATAGATGGAAGGCAACAGAGTTCAGGCAGTTTTTACTGTATACCGGACCTGTCATGATGAAAGATCTACTTAGCACAGAGGTGTACAAAATCTACTTGCTACTTTTTTGGGGGAATCTTCATCCTGTTCAACAAGAGTTTGATTGAATATCACTGTGATTATGCCCATGACGTACTGGTTCTCTTTGTCAACTGTATGGTCCGCAATTCTTGTCCTACAATGCACACTGCCTTATACATCTTGCAGATAATGCAAAAAAAGCATGATGTCCTTGACAACTTCAGTGCTTTCAAGTGCGAGAATCACCTAAACGAACTCAAAAGACTTCTGAGGAAACCAACATGCCCTCGGAGTCAAATAATAAAAAGATTCTCAGAAATGCAAATTTTTTTTTTTTTGACTGTCCCCTACCATCCTCTACACCCCGGCATTCATTTAGTGGATGACCTCTCAACAACAGTCGATTTCTGCAAGTTTGAGGAAATAGAGAGCAAGATGTTTTCTTGTCCCCCATCACGATCCATTTGTTTCAATTCCTCTTTTACATACTGAGTAAGTCTTTATCAGCAATTTTTGTTTCATAGTTCATGCATTTCAATTACATAGTTGCCGCACCCATTTAGTGCAGATGTGTCATTCAGAGAACTTGTGCTCATGTAAATTTATAGAATTGGACATTTGTATCAGTGGTTAAATCGGTTAATCCACCTACTCTGTTTCTTTTCTCTTTTTTGGCTCAAATTTGTCTCACCATAGCAATAAAAAAAAAAAAGCTTGACCTTTTTATTTGAGTTTTGAGAACAAAATGTATTGTTTTGACTGACCCAAACAGAGTTTCATACATACACGTACAGTACATGTATGTCCAAATGAATTTGCCATGCAGAGGACTTCTGGTTTCGGTTCATATGGAGTGAGCTGTCTTGACCGAAACTGTTAAACCTCTAAACAATTTTATGTATAAGAACCTGCAAATTGACAATTAACTCTCATGGCTTTGTTTAATATCAAGTTAAGTAACAACCATAAAACGGCAAAACTATCAGGAAAAAAAAGAGGACAAGGACTATGATTAGTTTTCAACACAATGCAAACAAAATATCCAAATGAAGAAAAACAGATGAAAATATTCAAAGTCTCAAAAGGTCAAACAATCAAATGAAGACTCAAAGTACAGGCACAAGCTGAGGCTGACTTGCAACTGCCTAATTAAAGGCTGAGCTAATAGCAGTTTTAAACAAAACTATAGGCACAGATGAACTGATTACACTAATCAAACTGAGTTGATAAAGTTCTTAAGGTCATTATGGCCAGCCAGGGTAATGTCCCACAATGGGAGTCACTCTGTGTGAATGGGGTTTTACACCATCTACACTGTAATCAATATCTAATCAATACCAAGTCTTAAATCATTACATTATTCAACCGTGAGTTCAGGTCCTCCAGCAGTAATTCAAAATCGCTGTGTTTGCAGTCTGTTGATTGTGTGAATCTGACATCGCTTTCATTCATCCTTGGACTGCCATCTAAATTACTGTCCTACAATAAAACACACACACTGTCAAATCCAGGAGATCCATTTCAGAGAGAAAGAGAAAAAGATATTGCCATATTGATATTACAGCCAGAGATATGAATAAAAAAATTCAAAAAGGGTCTCCATTGCTTAAAGATTAATAAAAGTAAATGATAAACAACTCCCTCTGAGCTGGAAAATATGCAGTGGCTTTAACTGCTCATTTATCTATTCATATTTTTATGTGTTCATGCATTATTACTGATTTAAATAAAATGATAAATTAAAAGCATCCTGATATTAAAATATGCACTGACCCAATTTATTTTCTTAATGTAATTAATGGTCTTATTCTGAACAATTCATATAATTTATTTTGACTTTGTGATATTTAATCAAAATGTCATAACTTGTTTTTCCTTTGATATGATTCACTTGACATCTATGATGTATTTAAGTCTGTGCTTCAGTTTTGGTATGCATCACTCACGTTTCACAATCCAATTTCACTTGGAAGTACAATATGGTAGTAACTTCCTATTGCAACTTCTGTTTCTTGCCGACTTTAAAGTCATACTAAAGTGTGTGAACTGTAAGCGTAACTGTTGTCCTGCAGGTGAAATGAATCACTATCCCCATGCACTTTAGCGTGTTTGAGCACTCATGAATCTACAATGATTTTCAAGCAAGCAAGTTACAATGGTTTTTGGAAACGGCTTATAATTCTATGATTCCAATCTACTGATTTGTCAATCCACCACTTACCAAATTCAAAAGCATAAAAAAGTATCATGCTTTCTGTTGTTAAAATCATGGAAAATCAGTTTAGCAGTTTGCAACAGACTACAAAACCGACATATGGCTTAATCCAAGTTAATGGGCTCACGTACATCCCGTAACAGGTATTTATATATTTAAATAAGAATATACTCACAATATTGGCCCAGGCTCTCCAGTTTACAACATGGATCATTCTTTAGATCATTAAGCAGCTTCCTTCCAGTATCTCCTCGTTTGTTTCCAGTCAGATTCAGTTGTCTCAGGTGTGAGGGGTTTGATATCAGAGCTGAAGCTAGAGCAGCACAACCTTGATCTGTGACACCACACTCACACAACCTGCAGGCAACAATGACAAGCTCTTCACTCACACAGTTCAAGACACAAATCAACAGGATCAATAAAGAAATAATAGTTTTCTCAAACAAAGCCACCTTCGGTGTTTTGTTGCTCTTTAGTCCAATATAGATGCATGATGTTTCAACAGTTTGTGTTCAGGGAATATGGAAGCATTTAATCATTGCAAAAATATATTCATTTTTATTTATATACTGTGTATGAGTGCACCCCCTCTGAAACTTAACAAATTCAGCAATTACTCTTCATTTAGAAAACACGTTGGGGTTCTTTGGAGATATAATGTTCCAGTAAGTCTGCTTGATCGGTTACCAAAGAAGCATGTTAAAATTATTCAGGAAAATTTGTTTTCCTTATCAAAGTGATAAAATGCTGTATTGCAAAAAATGAGTACACCCTCCAGAAAGTTACTAAAAAAAAAAATGAAGGCAGTTTTTGATCAGCAGGTGAGTATGTTGAACCAAAACTAAAGATAAGTCATTTCTAGTTGTTTAAAAGTGTTATATGGCCCACTAAATCATTCTTAGACTTAACGCTGACAACAATGGATGCACTTGGGACAGACTCATCAAGAGCATTTCTTTGCACAAAAGAGGACAGTATGGCCCAAGAGGGCATATGACTGACAGGTAAAGTAACCAATCACGTTTCGTTTTGTGCCGTGTCGTGTTAAGAGGCGTGGAAAATGTCCCCACAATAACAGACCGGTGTGTAAAACTCTTGGATGTATTTTAAAGAGTATATGCCGTGAAGTTTACATATTTCACATAGTTTTGAAAATCTAGCATTTAGTTGATCCTGATAAGTGCTCATCGTCACAGTTGTAAACCCAAAGGCATTATTCTACCTTTGTGGGATCAGTTTGGGGACGGCCCTTTTCTGTTCCAGCTTGACTGAGCCCCAGTGCACAAAGCAAGGTCCATAAAGACATGGTTGGATGAGTTTGGTGTGGAAGAACTTCACTGGCTGCACAGTCCTGACTCCAACCCCATCAAACACATTTCGGATGAACTGGAATGGAGATTGAGAACCAGGCCTTCTTGCCCAACATTAATGTCTGACCTCACAAATGCTCTACTGGATGAATGGTCAAACATTCCCACAGAAATACTCCAAAATCTTGTGGAAATGCTTTCTGGAAGGGTGGAAGCTGTTATAGACATTAATATGAAGTTGGTTCCACCTTTGTAGCTATGTTTTTAAAACACAATGTCATTAAAGTTCTTGTTGGTGTAATGGTCAGGTGCCACAATACTTTTGTCCATTTTGAATATATATATACAGGTGCATCTCAATAAATTAGATTGTCATGGAAAAGTTCATTTATTTCAGTAATTCAACTCAAATTGTGAAACTCGTGTATTAAATAAATTCAATGCACACAGACTGAAGTAGTATATGTATGTGAAATATTGAAATTGGTTGGGTTAACAAAAGTTTATTTGATACTGTAGATTTATTTTGGCTGTTTCAAAAACAAAGCTTGCATCTTTTCAACTATAATAATGTGTATATATGATGTTTATATTGGCCGTGTTCTGAAAAAAAAGAGGCACTGTAAAGTTTTGAGCAGCATGGAGGAAACTTTTGCCACGACAGGGTGCATCAAATAGGTCTTACGAGAGCATAGTATGGATTCAGAGATCTTTATTTAGTCAATACAAGCCTTGGAAAAGGCTACATGCATTTCTTGTGCTTAGGATACAGTAGGTACTCCTGTTTTGACAACAACCTTCACTTCAACAGACTGTCGTACTGTGTCAGATGAAACAGTCACTCTTCTCATAGCTTTTGTCAGCTCTGAGACACTCTTTGGCAGTGCTCCTGCTCTTTTGTTAGCAAAAAAGTACTCATCACAGAATAAAAACTTAAAGTGAAGGCCTGATTATTTCAGGGACCTTATAGCAAGTCCATACTTTTATACTATGTTCACTCTTAAAACAATGATTTGGTAATCTTCTTGTACCATTGTCTTATTTTGTACAAAGAAATATGTCCTAACAGTCCTCTTCCAAGTGGTTCCATTGTTGTCCGCATTAAGTCAGAGAATAATTCAATGGGCTATGTACAATTTTTAATTGTCAAGAAATTACTTAAAGGTTTTGGCTTAACATACTCACCTGTTGATCAAAACTTGCACCAGAACATTTGTATTTATTTATTGTAGTTTTATTTTGTAACTTTCAGGAGTGTGTAAACATTTGATAAGTTTGATAACAACATCTTATATTCCTGATTAATACTGATGTGTGTTTTTTCTTTTCAAAGACTGAACTCCTTGCACTCTCTGCAATCCCATCAGTTGACCACAATATTATTGTGCAACTTGGATCTACAGCACTAACACTGTACGGCCTGATCATTCCTATCCGAATGTGCAGCACAGTTTGTGTAATTTCAATACTGGACTATTGTAATTCTTTACAGGCAGGCCTTCCAACCAGCAGCAGTGTGACAATCCAGAACGAGGTAGCACATCTGGTCTTCAATCAGCCAAAGAGAAACCACGTCACACCCCTCCTGATCTCACTGCACTGGCTCCCAGTTGTGACCAGGAATCAAATTTAAAGGGGTCATATGATGCTATTTTAAAGATCATTATTTTGTGTATTTGGTGTAACAGAATAAGTTGACATGCTTTAATGTTCAAAAAACACATTATTTTTCAAATACTGTACATTATTGTAGGTCCTCTATGCCCCGCCTCTCTCAAACGCTTCGTTTTCTACAAAGCCCCTCCTTCCGACAAGCGCAGTCTGCTCTGATTGGCCAGCTGACCCAGTGCATTGTGATTGGCCGAACACTGCAAGCACGCGTCGGAAATGTAACGCTTCTTACCATAATCGCGAGCGTCAGCTTTCAAAGTAAATATCAAGACAGTTAATAATGTTGTTAGTTTTAGCATCAGTTCAAGCCCTGAAAGGGGAACAGAGTCGCGTGACAGACACAGTGATGATGCAGCACACAAGCCGCGATTAAGACAGCTGAGTCCTGTCCCTGCAGCTGAAAAACACCCCCACAGCATGATGCTGCCACCACCATGCTTCACTGTTGGGACTTGATTCAGAAGCGCCAGAGTGTCATAGCAAAGTTGGAATTTACCCTTTTTTAATTTTTTTTTATTTTTAGAAATAGCCTTTGTGCACAGCCAGCCTTGTACTCTTCTAGGTAAAAAAAAAATGTCGTCCATAAAATGCGTCATCTGGGTTGTGCTGTTCTGTTGTAAATAAATCTTAACCAATGATTCCTAAATGCATCTACTTCCGGAAGGCCAAATAAAGTGCTTTTGCTTTCGCACTGAAACACACAGCTTCTCCCTGACATGCTGCTTCAACACTAACTGCTGTTCCTGAAACCACGCCTTTCTTTGCTGCACGCCCATTTGGGCGGCACTATGCTAATATTTCCATATAGTGACGTAGATATGTGGGGGCGTGTTAGAACGAGCCGTTTTAGGGGGGCGTGGCAGAGTCTTAACTTTGATAAAGAATATCTCTTTGGTTTTGAGACTTTAGTCTTTGCAACTTCAGGGATCTTATCTATGCACAATCAGCTTGTAACACTCCAAAGAGAAAGGAAAACTTGAAATCGCATCATATGACCCCTTTAAAGCCTGGTTAAACGTTTCATTCATGTGCTGTTCTGATGAGCGCTTTTTCTGAGCACACCCAAAGCGTGCGCATAAAAACAAAAAAGCCCGAAAAACAGTGCCTGATTACTGAACTAAGTTACGTTGTGTGTATATTGTATATTAGATGCATGCAGGTCTTAAAGGGACAGTAGACTACATGCTGCCGACTGTCATTAAAGGGATAGTTCACCCTAAAATTTAATTTCGGTCATTATTTGTGCACATTTGGGCGGCGTTATGCAAATCTTCCCACATAGTGAGGTAGACATGTGGGGGCGTGTTAGAACGAGCCGTTTTAGGTAGGCGTGGTTAACTCTTAACTTTTATAAAGAATATCTCTTTGGATTTGAGACTTTAGTCTTTGCAACTTTACAGATCTTCTTTATGCACCAAGAGCTTGTAACACTCCAAAGAGAAAGGAACAATTTAAATAGCATCATATGACCCCTTTAAGGTTTTGATGCTGGTTTCTCTTTTGTAAAGTTGCTTTGAATAAATGTGTCTGCTAAATGCATATATGTAAATGTAATTCATAAACCAGACTGACTGGAACATTATATCTTCAAGGAACCATCATTTTATTTATTTTATTTTTCATAATTATACATAAATATATAGTTAGCAGAAGAAATTAAACCTCAAGTAATAATTGGTGGGGACAAAAACAGGAATACTAGATCATGTGATGTGATGGAGATGAATTAAATTAAATTTCATCTTCAGTTAACAGTCATCTGTGCTGAGATTTACCCCCGGTTTCACAGACAAGGCTTAAGCCTAGTCCTAGACTAAAATTTAATTGTGAGCTGTTTCAACTGAAAGAAACTTGCACTGACTGATCTTAAAATATATCAGTGCCTTTGTTTTGTCTCAAGATGTACACCAGTAATGTTTTTTTCTAAGGCATGTTTATAAAAATTACTTAAATGTGCCAACTGAACTATGGCCTAATCCTGGTTTAGTCTAAGCCCTGTCTGTGAAACCAGGCCTTAGTGTTTACTGAACTTTTATTTTACAAGCTGATTTTACATCAAAGGAAGCATCTTAATAAATATGTGTATAGAAAATATCTTACCACAGTTTCTCCAGTTTACAGTGAGGATCTTCCAGTCCAACAGCAAGCAGCTTCACACCTGGATTTCCTATTTTATTCTGAGACAGGTTCAGATCTCTCAGATGTGAGGGGTTTGATTTTAAAGCTAAAGCCAGAGCAGCGTAACCTTCATCTGAGACACCACAATTAATCAACCTGTAGAGAAGCACAATAAATATTTGATAATTGATGGATCAATGGAATGAGATTTAAAAGTTGACTGTGATGTAAACTTTGTATTTCAGTGTGACTCTGTTTAGTATCATGTTACTAAAACATAGCTCATGTGTTCAGTAATTTCCAGCTCAATCACCTGAACTCAGAGCAGCAGAATGAGGTTGAACACTTCAAATATACTTTACATTGTGTTTCATATGTGCAATCCAGATACAATCTTACCACAGTTTCTCCAGTTTACATTGAGGATTCTGCAGTGCATCAGATAGCTGCTTCACTCCGGAACCACTTATATTTCTATTATCAGTCAGATCCAGTTGTCTCAGGTGTGAGGGGTTTGATATCAGAGCTGAAGCCAGAGCAGCACAACCTTTATCTGTGACACCACAGTTCCTCAACCTGCAGTTAACAAAGACACACTCTTTACTCTTTCAGATCAGATCATTTAGCAGGAAATCCATTAATAAAGAGAAAGTACACACTTACTATTGTAAAAAAGATGTGTACTTGATTATACCGAATGTGCACTTGTAGTGTACTGCAAATCTCAAAAGTTTATTTTTAAAAAATTGTACTTGCAGATAATATTGATGTCACTGTTGTCACAGCCATAACACAAAAGATGGTCGACACAAAATGGTCGATCCAATAGGGGAATTTATTTGAAGACAATAAACATAAAATGTGGGAAAACTTCTTCTTCTTTAAAAAAAAAAGCCTCAATTTCAATAGCTGGATAGAGGTAAACATCTTTGAAAAATAACATATGGGGTGTTCTATATCATTAGCACCCCTCAGATCCCACACCGTATCACTGGCACCTACAGCAAGGCTGAACTATCTTGGATGGTGTGGCGCGGTCAACACTGGTGCTGAAATCAACAAGGACTTGATGTTTTAAAAGCATGCTGACACCCTCTGTAATTGGATCCTGGACTTTCTAACCGGAAGACCTCAGTCAGTCCGTGTCGGCCACAACACCTCCAGCACTACCACACTGAGCACAGGTGCCCCACAAGGCTGTGTGCTCAGCCCGCTGCTCTTCACACTGCTGACCCACGACTGCACTGCCAAGTTCAGCTCCAACCACATCATTAAGTTTGCTGATGACACAACTGTGGTAGGTCTCATCAGCAACAATGATGAAACACCCTACAGAGAGGAAGTGGCACAACTGGTTGAATGGTGTGGTGCAAACCGTCTGTCCCTCAATAAGAGTAAGACAAAGGAGGTTGTGATGGACTTCAGGAGAAACTCTGTTGACCACCCCCACTGACCATCGACAGCTCGACTGTGGAGAGAGTCAGCAGCACTAAAACCTGGGGGTGCACATAACAGAAGACTTCACCTGGACCACCAACACAACATCACTCTCCAAGAAGGCGCAACAGCGGCTCCACTTCCTGCGCCGACTTAAAAGAGCAAGTCTCCCTCCACCCATCCTCACCACATTCTACAGGGGAACCATTGAGAGTGTGCTGACCAGCTGCATCACTGTCTGGTACAGGAACTGCAGTGCTGCTGACCGCAAGACCCCACAGCTGCAAAGATCATCGGTGCTCCTCTCCCCTCCATTCTGGACATTTTCCTTGCACGATGCTCCAGTAAAGCCACCAGTATCATGAAAGACCTCACCCATCCCTCCCACAGTCTCTTCCAGCTCTTGCCACCAGGAAGACAGTACCGGAGCATCAGAGCCCGCTCTGCAAGACTGTCTCTCACCCCCCACCCCACCCCACCCCACCACACCACACCACATGCACCACATGAAAACTGTTGAAAACCTCAAGAACATTGTGCAATTCTGAGTGTGCTACACACAGGTGAGTGGGCTGGACAAACCACATGTAGAAAAACACAATCTTTCCTCTCTATACGCACCAGACACTTTCTTATAAACACTCCATGTTACAAGGACTTAATAAGATAACACAAATGTTTACTTGTGAATGCACCACAAATCACATTGCACTACTTCTTAACCTTAAATACCTCCTTTGCACAATATCATGTACAGTTATTATGTAAAGTACTTATATAGTCTGTCTTAGGTTATGTTGTGTGTAAAGTCAACTATTTATGGTATATGTATAGTTAGACTACTGCTTCAGAAAGTTAGCTATGTAGGTCTAAAAATTGTTCTTACGTCTAGTGTTGTATGTTTATATTTATGTTTATTTATATAGCACCGTGGTCCTGCTAAGAAGGGCTGCGCAAAGAAAACAACAATAATGACTTTATTCAACAATTTGTTCTCTTCCGTGTCAAGTCTTCGACATGTGTTCATGAGATTACCATTACACATGTGTGTGATGCTGCTGACGCAGGAGCCGGCTTTCTCACGTAGAATTTACTACCTATCTGGGCCTTTAACGTGGTAGTTACGTTGCTGACTAAGCAGGGTCAGAAAGCACTCGGATTTCATCATAAATATCTTAATTTGTGTTCCGAAGAGGAACAAAGGTTTTTGGATGACATGAGGGTGAGTAATTAATAACAGAATTTTCAGTTGTGGGTGAATTATCCCTTTAACGTCTAACTTTAAATTAGCTGACACTTGCCTCTCAAATCATAGTGCTTTAATGTCAAATATGTCCCTCTTTGTAATTACAAAAAACAATATACAGTACAGAATACCACAGTGCTTTATCAATTAGGCTAGTGATGTTTCCTTGCAGCCTAATTTACCCAGAATTCAAGATACGGTGGACAAATCTCCATAGTATGATTTATTTTGTTATATTTGATATTACGCGTTGTTTCCAGAATTTCAGCACCATTGTCAATGATATTGAGTTTATACAACAGTTCAGTACAGCCACAGCCTTAAATAGAGTTACACATCTACACATCTACAAATCAGTTGAACGAATGCTTCTGTGACTCTCTCATTAAAGGATTAGTTCACTTCCAGAACAAAAATTTCCTGATAATTTACTCACCCCCATGTCATCCAAGACGTTAATGTCTTTCTTTCTCCAGTTGCAAAGAAATTAAGGTTTTTGATGAAAACATTCCAGGATTTTTCTCCATAAAATGGACTTCAATGGTTGTCAACAGGCTGAAGGTCCAAATTGCAGTTTCAGTGCAGCTTCAAAGGGCTCTACACGATCCCAGCCGAGGAGGAATAAGGCTCTTATCTAGCAAAACGATCAGTTATATACTTTTTAACCACAAATGCTCGTCTTGCACTAGCTCGACTTCACGCATGACATAATCACATTGTAAACATCATGCGTGGTTAGCTCTTCGTCTCTGTACTCTGGTTCAAAAAGGTAGGGTAGGGCGAAAAACTCTCTCATCTCATTTTCTAGTAAAGTTATCAGGAAATTTTTATTCTGGAAGTTAACTAATCCTTTAAGATAGGGATTTACCGCCACCTACTGGTGGTTTTAATTTCATAATTAAAAGAATAATTTTATTTAATATTTCTACATTCAAAATGTATATTTATAATATATATATTTAAATATATAATTAAGTAAGTTAATTTCTGAGGGAAAAATAAATAAGGTTGTGGCAAAAATAAAATTTACTTGTTTCTGTTCTTGACTTGATCCTTAGCAGGACTCAACTTGACTTGACAGAACCTGGGGAAAAGGTAGGGTTTCTGCTCCCAACGTCTACAAACCAACTGCTGATGAAGCGACAAGGACCCTACAGCATCTTTTGCAAGATAGGACTGGTGACATATGAAACTCGTCACCCCCACAAAAGGCAAAGCTACACAGATTTACCACATCAACCTGCTTAAAGAATGGAAAGAGCAACCAAGAAAACCAAAAACATCTCTGCTGATTCATAAAGCGGATGTGCATCAGGAAGAGGAACGACCAGAACCTAAGGCTGGAGGGCTAGCATAGCCAGCAGACATTGATCTGGAAGATCATCTGGAAGAGTCCAAAAAGGTGGAGGAGCACCATGATGCTGGAACTGGCAGTTATAGAAATCTCCAAAAGTAAATGGAGTAGCCCAGTTGTGACTGTCCCAAAGAAAGATGACATCCTGAGCATCTGCATTGATGCATACCCAATGCCACACATCAGTTACCTTTTAGAGAGGATTGGCCAAGACATGTATATTACGACCTTGGATCTATGCGAATGGTACTGGCAAGTACCCCTGGAGGAGGTGTCCAGACCGAATAATGCATTCTGGACCCCAATGGGGCTATATCAGTTCATAGTCCTACCTTTTGGGCTGCATGGGCCACATGGGGAACCTGCAACTTTTCAATAGTTAATGGACCAACTCCTCTGAGTCTGTGAAGCCTGGTCAGCGGCGTACCTGGACTATGTTGTCATTCTCAGTGCAACCTGGCATGACCATCTGCAACACCTGAGACAGACCCTGCAAAATATGCAAGAGGCTGGGCTTAACCTTCAAAGTGTCAGTGGGTGAAGTCAGACACGGAGACCTTGGGTACCACCTGGGAAATGGAGAGATGAAACCTCAAGTAGACGAGGTAGAAGCGGTTCGACACAGCCCAAAACTGAGGACTCAGAAGGAGGTCCCTGCCTTCTTGAGACTGGTGAGGTGGTATTAATGCTTCATTCCCAATATCTCTACAACTGCCGGTTTATTGACCAACCTGCTCTGCAAGAATATCAGGAATCTGGACTGAGGAGTGTGAAGCATCCTTCAACAGCCTGAAGGAGCAGATGTGTTTTGGCCCAGTCCTCAAAAGTCCAGATTTCACAAAGGAGTTCATTGTCCAGGTAGTTGCTTCTGCTGTGGGAATTGGAGTAGTCCTGGTCCAGGGTGAAGAGAGGCCCATTACGTACCCTGAGCAGGAAGTTGCTGCCAACGGAAACCCGGTTCTCCACAGTAGAGATGGAATGCCTGGCAATCAAGTGGGCCTTGGAGAGCCTCAGATACTCCTTGCTAAGGAGGGAGTAATTCTCGTGTGGCCAGATGGTACCTCTCCCTGCAGCCTTACCAGTTTAAAGTGACACATCGACCTGGACCCTAGAATCTTGGTACCTGAGCAGTTTGCTGCCTGGGGAGGGGAGAGGTGATGTGAAAGAGTGACATGTGCCTGTTGGTTAGCACAACACACAAACCATCCTACATCATTCCTCCTCCTCCGTTATCTGCTGTGGCAATGTGGGTGCACACGTACACCATTAGCACACTGGTTTCACAAACGCAAACATATCCACTCCATTTCCATCCCCCAACAATAATTTGCACTGCACATAACACAAACAAACCTGACTTGTCTTTCTTTTTTTAAATATGTTATTATTTATTTATTTTTTAGATATGAGCAATATCACACAAGTAGACGTGAGATATGGCTGTATATCAGCACGGCTGTGATTCGGCCGTAGGTACGAGGCTGCAGGCACATCGACCTGGACCCCAGAGTAAGATAGCCGACTGCCAGTGTGTGTGTGTTGTACTAGACAATTCAGACAAAAGTACAAAGGCAGCGCTCTGATATACAGCATTAAATTTACATAAAATATAACATGATGAGATTTTGCCCTCAGCCAAAACTATTTGCTCTGGAACAAATAATAGATTAATGAGACCAAAGACTGGCCGTTAGATTTACCCAAAACAAATTATATTGTTTAACCACTATAGAGACATCAGAGTCAGCGGCAAATTCCAGAAGATCTGGCCGAGATGAGGCTACTCTCGGCGGGTTCATGAGTGCTGAACGCCACTGATGCCCTGGAGCTCACACCACCGAAAACATTGAAGGAAATTTTCAAATAGTTGTTATCTTTGTCAAGAAGCCGCATATGTGAAGTCTAAAAAAATATATTATCGCCTAAAAACTCTTAAAACTACATTCTGTGACACAAAAACAGTATAATTTTTAAAGTACAGTGGATTTGGCCATCCGCCATGACACTCGCTGTGAGAAATATACAATCACATTCTCCAGTTCTGGACAAATGAACAAAAAACAATGGAGCAAGAGTAGAATCTGCCCTTTGAGCTGCAATGAATTTATCAGGAGACAAAGACAATTCAACACGATCTTTAAAAGCTTCCTTTTCGGCACAAAGGAATCGGACAACAGGGAACAGAAGACACTTAAGTTAAACCAGGATTTAACATGAAAGTGTCACATAAATCCACTTCATTTGAAATAAGAGCATCTACAGATTTGGCCATAGAGCATGTAACTGCGCACGCTAAGAAAACGTCAGCGGTAGCAACACGCGACACAGATACCACCTCAGGTGACACATTAGAATAACTCCACACTTTATAATCTTTTGTCATGGTTTAAAGAAGTGCACTTATGATGTTTTGACTAACATAATAAAGTACATGTAAAGTACTTAATTATAATTTATAAGAACTGTAATGTGTTATTCGGTATTACATTTAATACGTATAAACAATTTAAATGTACTAAATTGCAACTTCATTCTAAATGTGTTATTACAAATATAATTAAATAGATGACATACAAGTTTCAATAAAAATTATATTAAAGTATATTTTATTTTCCTATAAATGCTTATTAGTAAATATAGCAGTACACTTAAACCATACAGAAGTAATTATGAAATTACATATAAAGATGTATTTAAGTCCTAATTAAGTTGGTCACAAAGACACTCTAAAGGCCAAATAAATGCATTACAAATAAATTTAAACATTTAATTGCAGTTAACATGCTATTAAGTGTCCAAAAACATTACACTGAATTAGCACTTAAGTATAGTCTTTTCAAGTATATTATTTCTATAATAAGAACTCTTTTTGAAATTATGCTAAAATGTACTTTTTTTTACAAGGGTATAGTACAAATCGATATGTCTGATGGATCACTGTATCTCTTTAAAAGTCCAGAATTTTTCAAATTCCTCTAATGCAGGATTAATAATACTGTTTTATCATTGCATTGACAAGCCCTTTGAAAATGGTCACATCATCTCAGTCAGCTCCAAGATCAATAAAACAAAGCTAAGCAAACATTATTTCTTTGTTCTCAGATCTCAGAGCTAAAGCCAGAGCAGCACAACCTTTATCTGTGACACCTCACTCACACAACCTGTGGAGAATAATGATATACTCTTCACATGCTGTCATTATCCCAAACTGTGTTCCCCTCTCTTGTGCTTAAGACTCTTGTTTTGTAATGTTTTTTTCCCCTATTGACTCCCAGTTCACTTCCTTTGTTCAGTTCCTGTCCCTGTTGGCCTTGCCTTGTTTGTTCCTATGGTTACCCATCATTTGTTGTCATGGTTACTGATTAGCTCCTCCCCCTTGTTACCCTTGTTAACCTGTGTATTTAAACTCCTGTGTTTACCTGGTTCTTTGTCTAGTCTTATGTCTGTTTACTAGCTGTTCCCTGCTCATGTTCCCCCGTTTCTGTCATCCTGGTTCCTGTCAATTACTTCAATAAAACTCGTCTCCATTTGGAACCACTTGCCTTTGTCCTTGAAATCCACCAAGCATAACACTTACACAGTTCAGGATAAATCAACAGGATGAATAAGAAACAGTTTTGTGGGGTGGTCTTCTCAAATAAAGTAATCATTTCAACATGATACCACTTTCTTGGCTTGTATCTCTCTTATTGTTCATCTGGGATTTACAACACTTACACCAACCAGGACAGCAAGGAATGTGGAGGTTGTGCTTGATAACAAGCTGAGCTTTTTCACCCACATCTCAACAATGGTCCAGTTATGTAGGGTTTTGCTGTACAGCATTAGGAAAATCACACCCTGCCTGTCAGAATGTGCAGCACAGCTACTCATCCAAGCTTCTGTAATTTCAAAACTGGACTACTGAAATTCTCTACTGGCAGGCCTTCCAACAAGCACCAATGTCACTTATAAACTGACCAATGAACTGACTTTAGCTGGACAAATGACTCTGTTATTGCCTTCTTACATTATTGACAATCTATTTTTCTGTTTAACACTGTAAAGCTGTTTTGACACAACCAGCGTTGCATAAAGCATTATACAAATAAAGGTGACTTGACTCCGCTCTAGAATGATTTAGAATGCAGCACATCTTGTCTTCAATTATAAACTTGAATTTATGTGTAAATATATATATAAAGTGTCATTACTTCAAGTTTATAATTGAAGACAAGATTTGCTGCATTCTGGATCATCTCCAGAGGTTAAGTCAAGTTGTCACGCCCCTGGACTGATTTTGTTGTGTTTTTGTTCCCCATGTGCTCCATGACCCAGTTTCTGTCTCCCGTTGATTGTGTTATTTGGTCCAGGTGTGTGTCAGTAATTATCTTCATTTGCCCTAGTATTTAAGTCCTAGTCTGTGCAGTCTGTCTCTGTCGGTTCTTCTCGTTACGTTGATGTGTTTCCTGCTGTCTCCAGTGTTGATGTACCCTGTGTTCCACGGATTAAAGACGGTTTTGTTTATTCCTCGTCTCCATCGTTCCTCGCCATCACAGATTGTGACACAAGTCAAGTCACCTTTATTTGTATGACGCTTTATACAACACTGGTTGTGTCAAAACAGCTTTACAGTGTTAAACTGGAAAATAGATTGTCATTAATGTAAGAAGACAATAACAGAGTCATTTTTACAGCTAAAGTCAGTTCATTGGTGTAGCGTCTGGACCAATCAAACACACAATATATATTTTGTTTTTATATTTAACAAATACTCTGTAACCCCCCTCAGTTAACAAGCCATACAAGGACCCATGAACCCTTCCCCCCGGAATGCGTAACACCCCAGGAAGTCGAACAGGCCTCTTTGTTGCATGGCAACCAACGCTGATATCACTGGGTTTATTGGCCAAAAGTATGTAAAGCAGGGAAAATCCCTGCATGTCCCAAGGAAAGGCAGAGTAGAAATGGACTATGTTCTAGTTATGGACTAGTTCGATTTAAGTCCATTTGCAAATTACCATGCTTAGAGAACAAAGGGGTCATAAACCCTCCAGCAATTGCCACCTCCCGCTCGGAAATTTCCATCTCTCTCATTGGACAAGCCCATAAAACCTTACTTGTATCACACTTGACGTGTTCATTGTTTGCTCATAATCACTAAATAGTCACTAATCATGCAGATTTACGCTACAAGCTTGGTAGAATTGTACAGTAAGAAAGTTATTTCCTTTAACCAGGAAATTAACGTTCTTAGAATTGACAAGACAGTGACCCTGAGAGGTCAGCTAAATATCTACAGCGGATCTAAAATATGAATAGTTAATTATAACTAGTTATGGTTAATTATTCATATTTCCTGTCATGAGCTGATTCGTTACATTGGTCAGTTCATATATATCTATATATATATTTATAGTAGGTACAGGAGTACTAGGTCATGTGATGCGATAGAGATGAATGAAATTAACAGTCCCTGTGCTGAGATTTAGTGTGTACTGAAAATGTATTTTACAAGCTGATCTTAAAGATGCAGTATGTAATAATGACAGCTAGTGGTTGAAATGGGTACTACGGTCTCATTTCGAAATATTGTTTCTCCCGCCCGCTCTTCGATGCTCACACGGGATGTCAGACTGAGGACACACAACATGAACGAGCGCAACTGACAATGGAAGGTGACGAACCTTACGCTGTAAACTGATGAGTTGATTTGTCTGCATTTTAATATGCCTGTGGTCACACAGCTTTTTAGATTGATGCTAAGGGTTTTTAGGTCGGGTACAATCTGCGATTTCTGTCCCAGTTCGTTTCCTCGCTTCCATGACTGCAGTATGCAGCATGTGTTTTTTGCAAATTTGCAACCCAGGCTGTCGAAATATTATTGGGTAAACTGTAAGTGAACAGAATCACACAGACCAAATCAAAAACAGACGTGCCGACACAGAATGCACATTTTCAGTATTGTTTTTCGGAAGAAACAAGAATGCGAACTTAGCATGTTTCCTGAATATCTGCAAATGTATTATGATGTTTTTATGCTTTAGTACTGTCAAAAAATTACACACAGCACCTTTAATAAATGTGTGAATATAACATATCACATATCATCTTACCACAGTTTCTCCAGTTTACTGTGAGGATCCTCCAGTCCAACAGCAAGCAGCTTCACACCTGAATTTCCTATTTTATTCTGAGACAGGTTCAGATCTCTCAGATGTGAGGGGTTTGATTTTAAAACTAAAGCCAGAGCAGAGCAACCTTCATCTGAGACACCACAATTAATCAACCTGTAGAGAAGCACAATAAATATTTGATAATTGATGGATCATTGGAATGAGATTTAAAAGTTGACTGTGATGTAAACTGTGTATTTCAGTGTGTTTCTGTCAGTTTAGTATCATGTTACTAAAACATAGCTCATGTGTTCAGTCATTTCCAGCTCAATCACCTGAACTCAGAGCAGCAGAATGAGGTTGAACACTTCAAATATACTTTACATTGTGTTTCATGTGTGCAATCCAGATACAATCTTACCACAGTTTCTCCAGTTTACATTGAGGATTCTGCAGTGCATCAGAAAGCTGCTTCACTCCGGAACCACTTATATTTCTATTATCAGTCAGATCCAGTTGTCTCAGGTGTGAGGGGTTTGATATCAGAGCTGAAGCCAGAGCAGCACAACCTTTATCTGTGACACCACAGTTCCTCAACCTGCAGTTAACAAAGACACACTCTTTACTCTTTCAGATCAGATCATTTAGCAGGAAATCCATCATTAAATAGAAAGTACACACTTACTATTGTAAAAAAAAAAAGTACACTTGCAGTGTACTTAAAATCTCAAAAGTATAATTTAAAAAATTGTACTTGTAGATAATATATTAATGAAATAAAACTTACTGTAAGTGTTCTTATAGACACTTTCACGACTGTTTCTTAACACACTTAAGAACTTTTAAAAGTGCATTTTTTAATCATGTAAAATGTAAAGTTTGATCACAAACTACATTTAAATCATTTTTAAATAAATACATTATGATGTCTTGACTAACATACTAAAACACGTGTAAAGTAATTGATTATAATTTATAAGAACTGAAGTGTGTTTATTTATATTACATTTAAATTAATACATTTTAAATGTACTAAATTTCAACTTCATCATTACAAATGTGCAATTACAAAATATATTTAAATACATGACATATAAGTTTCAATAGAATTACATTAAAGTATATTTTAGTTTAATATAAGATTTTTAAACTACTCAATGCAAAAGAGCAAAGCAAAAAAAAAAAAAAAAAGCACATACTAGATATTTAATAATTATTAAATATGAGATATTTAATAAAACGCTTGTTTTGTTTACTCTGTTGAGATGTGCTGAAGTGGCATTTGGTCTTGTGCAGTACTGTGTTCCTTGTCAGTGCTTGCTTGGCCCTTTGCTATTTTAAATCAGTAAAGCATGTTCAGCTGAATTTAATTACAGTTTGTTAGGCAGGTATAAAAAAGGTTAGCATACCGCGGCTGCCCTCGTGTGAAGACCAAAGAGTGTAAAGACCAGCAACTCTACCTGTGCAACTCCACCGAGCAAGAGACATAAGTATTGCTTTTTATTTATCCTCTTTCCCACAACTTGTTTCACTTCTGTTTCAGTTTTTATGACCGATAGTGACTATCTGTTTCCATATCCCTAATATTACTAACATTCTCAAACCATGCATCACACACTGTAGGCAGCGCAATCCTGACAACCTGCACATTTTGCCTATGTCCACTATTACACTACTTTCTTTTCCTATTGGTCTCTGGAATTGTCGGTCTGCAGTAAACACAGGAGATGTCATTACATCTATTACTAGTCATTTAAGGCTAAACCTCATGGCCCTGACAGAGACCTGGATCAAACCAGAGGACACTGCTACGCCTGCAGCCCTCTCCAATAATTTCTCATTTTCCCACTCCCCCCGTCTGACTGGAAGAGGTGGAGGTACTGGTCTGCTTATCTCTAATGATTGGAAATGTATTCCTTTACCATATCTGGATATCAACAGCTCCTTTGAATCACATTCAGTTACTATCACCCAGCCTCTTGAAATCCATTTTGTAGTTGATTATCAACCCCCAGGACTGCTAGGTAACTTCTTGGAGGAGTTAGATGTGTTGCTCTCAACCTTCCCTGAGGATAGTATACTCTGGTTATGCTTGGAGATTTCAATGTCCACCTAGATAAAACTCAGGCTGCAGACTTCCACACTCTGCTTGCCTCTTTTGATCACATACTCCTCCACATGGCACCTTTCGACGTAACCTACGCTCACTCTCACCCTTCCAGCTATCTGCTATGGATTCATCTTTGTTTGCTCCCCCTAAACAATTCTCATCACTTGATGCTAACAGTGCTACTGACACTCTCTGCTCCACTCTGACGTCTTTAGACACTGTCTGCCCCCCTATCATCCAGGCCAGCCCATACCACCCCTTCTGCCCCTTGGCTATCTGTTGTTCTCCCCGAGCATCGTTCTAAGCTCAGGGCTGCAGAAAGGGTGTGGCGCAAATAAAAAAGTCCTACTGACCTCGATGTGTGTTGTTCACTCCTCTCTTCCTTCTCCGCTAATGTCTCCACTGTTAAATGGACAAACTACCACAACAAAATTAACAATTCGTCTCTCACATGCTCTTTAAAACATTTTGTCACCTTTGTCCTCCCCCTCCCTTCTTTATCAACTCTTACAGCTGACGACTTTGTCACATTCTTCATTAATAAAATTACAACCATCAGCACACAACTCTCCACACTACAAATGGTCAAACGCATCTTACCAGCAAACATACACTCATTCACATCTGCCTCTCTACTCTCTGAGACAGAAGTCTCCAAACTCATCTTTTTCAGTCATCCTACTACTTTTCTGCTTGATCCAATTCCATCTCATCTCTTTCAAGCCATTTCTCCTGCAGTTGTAACTGCACTCACTCATATCATTAAAGGGATAGCTCACCCAAAAATGAAAATTCTGTCATTAATTACCCACCCTCATGTCGCTCCAAAGCCGTAAGGCCTTCATTCATCTTCGGAACACAAATTAAGATATTTTTGATTAAATCTGAGCGTTTTCTGACCCTCCATAGACAGCAAGGGTCCTACCCTGTTCAAGGCCCAGAAAGGTATCAAGAACATCAACAAAATAGGGCATGTGACATCAGTGATTCAACCGTAATTTTATGAAGCTAGGATAATACTTTTTGTGTGCAAAAAAAAAAAACCTATTCAACAATTATTCTCTCCCGAGTTACCATCTATCGCCGTTATCGAGAGTAACACAAGCTTTGTAAAATTACGGTTGAACCACTGATGTCACATGGACCATTTTAACGATGTTCTTACTACGTTTCTGTGCCTTAACCATGGTAGGACCCTTGCTGTCTATGGAGTGACAGAAAGCTCTCAGATTTAATCAAAATATCTTAATTTGTGTTCCCGAAGAAGAACGAAGATCTTACAGGTTCTAAATGACATGAGGATGAGTAATTAATTACAGAATTGTCATTTTTGGGTGAACTATCCCTTTAACGCATCCTTTCACACTGGTGTCATTCCCACAGCATTTAAACAGGCACTGATAACCTCACTACTTAGGAAACCCACTCTTAACACAGCACTTTTAGAGAACAGAACTGTATCCCTTCCATTCATTGCAAAAACATTTGAACGAGTTGTGTTCAACCAAGTCTCTGCCTTTCTCACACAGAAAAATCTTCAACAACCAGTCTGGCTTCAGAAGCAGACATTCAACTGAGACTGCCTTGCTCTCAGTTGTTGAAGCCCTAAGACCGGCAAGAATGGCTTCCAAATCTTTAATACATATCTTGCTGGATCTGTCTGCTGCTTTTGACACGGTTAACCACCAGATCCTCCTGTCAACCCTCATGGCAAAGGGCATCTCAGGAACTGCACGCCAGTGGTTTGAGTCTTACCTCTCAGATAGGTCCTTCAAGGTAACTTGGAGGGTTGAGGTGTCCAAGTCGCAACATCTAGCTACTGGGGTGCCTCAGTGCTCAGTTCTGGGACCACTTCTCTTCTCTGTCTACATGGCATCACTAGGTTCTGTCATTCAGAAACATGGCTTTTCATAACACTGCTATGCTGATGACACTCAGCTCTACATTTCATTCCATCCTGATGATCTGATGATAGCTGCTCGCATTTCAGCATGTCTGACAGACATTTCTTGCTGGATGAAGGACCATCTTTGACAATCATCTTCAACTCAACCTTGCCAAAACAGAACTGCTTGTGGTTTCAGCAAACCCATCACTTAATCACAGTTTCACCATCCATCTTGGCGCATCAACCATAACACATTCAAGGACAGCCAGGAACATTGGAGTTGTGATTGATCATCAGCTGAATTTCACTGACCACATTGCTAAAACTGCCCAGTCATGCATATTTGCTTTATACAACATTAGGAAGATTAGGCCTTTTCTATCAGAACATGCTACACAACGTCTTGTTCAAGCTCTTGTTCTGGCCAGGCTGGACTATTGCAATGCTCTCTTGGCAGGTCTTCCAGCCAGTTCTATCGCAGATATATTTGCATACCTCAAAATAAATGATATAGTAAAATCTCTAACAATAGACATTTTATACCGTGGTTACGATATTTACTATCATACCACCCAGCCCTAATTTGAAAGTGTGTATTTCAGAGTGATTATCAATTATCATTGTTTTTTTATGTGTGAGAGTCACATATGATCTTACTTCAGTATCTCCAGTTTACAGCGAGGATTGTGTAGTACACCAGAGAGCTGCTTCACTGCTGAATCACCTAGATTATTGTCAGACAGATTCAGTTCTCTCAGGTGTGAGGGGTTTGAACTCAGAGCCGAAACCAGAGCAGCACAACCTTTATCTGTGATTCCACAATCACTCAACCTGCAGAGAGATGAAAGTCATGCTCGTTAAACACTTGTTAATACTTGTTGAACTGTAATCAACAGCATTTTGCAGCAATAGAAAAATTCCAATTACACACAAACACACACACACCAACATGTATAGTTTAAGCTTCATGGTTAAACTTAAAGATTAATTTAATAATAAGTTGTTACTTTATGCTTGTTTGTTTAACAATAATCAACAAATGCATATGTAGATTAAAATTTTCTTCAAAACGGTGTAGGATCTGTCTCACAACAGACCCACCTACATGATGGAGACACACACATCAAACCAGCACATTCCATGGAAGGTTTTTGAGGTTCGTTTCCCCAGCCATCTGCAGTCGTAAAACTCATGCTCTATCAAGTAAGGTGAAGAATTCCCTGGACTGTTTGGCTATATCTCAAGATAAGCTAAAAAGGACAGTACTTTAACGGTGCTTAAAGTTGTTTTACGGGCTTGCAAAGAGCAGATAGAAATACCCTCATGACCAGTGGACGCATAAATTGCTAAACTCCGATCAACAAAAGAGACAATTTTATAGCTCCCTGTCCCGCAGGAGAGATGATGACGGGGCGACAAATAACACTACCGTTACACCTGCTCTCCCAACCTGGTGACCGGAACCTCGTTACCGCCTATACCACTCATCAATACCTGGAAGAGTTGCGGTGTTTCTCAAATATGCTGACATATTGCTCCATTCATTGATAAAATAAATGTTGTTGTTGATGTTGATAAGATTTGTAACCGTTTTTCTTTGAATTTCTTCATCTTTTAACAAGGAAGTGATTGTACTCAGTGATACTTACTGTACTGATCTGGATTCTTTAATCACAGGCAGCAGCTTCTCAGTTACTTCCAGTTTTTCCATTTTATTGTTTCCTCCAAAAAAATTATTAATATTAAATTCATCCAGCTCCTTCTCTGATGTCAACAACACAAAAACTACAGCCGACCACTGAGATGAAGAGAGTTTGGCTCGGTGCATTCTTCCAGATTTCAGAAACTGATGTATTTCCTCCACTAGTGAATAGTCACCCACTTCATTCAGACAGTGGAACAGATTGATGGATCTCTCTGGAGAGTCAATGGCTCTGATCTTCTTCTTGATGTACTCAACTGTTTTCTCATTGCTGTCAGAGCTGCTTACTCTCAATGATATTAGTTGTAGTAGTAGAATCTGATTCACCTTCACTGACAGCCCCAGAAGGAAACGGAGGAAAAGATCCAGATGTCCATTTTTACTCTGTACAGCCTCATCCACAGCTCTCTGATGCAGCTCAGATAAGGAAACATGTTTTGCTGGATTATTCTGAAACCAATCCAAAACTTTAGTCTCTGGTTTGTTGCTCTGTCCAAACCCATTTATGTCTGTAAAGCAGAGATGCACATATAGAGCTGCTAGGTGTTCCTGAATGCTCAGATGAACAAAGCAGAAGACTTTCCCCTGATGCAATCTCAACTCCTCTCTGAATATCTGAGTGCACAATCCTGAGAACACTGCTGCTTCTGTCACATCAATGCCACACTCTCTCAGGTCTTCCTCATAGAAGATCAGTTTGCCATTCACAAGCTGCTGAAATGCCAGTTTCCCCAGTTTGAGGATCATGTCTTCATCTGTCACCTTCTTCTCATAGTCCTTCTCACGTTTGATGTTGGTCTGAATGATCAGGAAGTGTGTATACATTTGAGTGAGAGTCTTGGGAATCTCTCCACTCTCTGCTGGACTCAACATCTTCTCGAGAACAGTGGCTGAGGTCCAGCAGAACACTGGGATGTGGCACATGATGTAGAGGCTCCTTGATGACTTCAGGTGTGAGATGATTGTATTGGCCAGACTCTGATCACTGATTCTCTTCCTGAAGTATTCCTCCTTCTGTGGCTCATTGAAGCCTCGTACCTCTGTCACTCGATGGACGCATTCAGTGGGGACGAGATCAGCTGCTGCTGGTCTGGAGGTGATCCAGATGAGAGCAGAGGGAAGCAGATTCCCCATAATGAGGTTCGTCAGCAGCACGTCCACTGAGGCTGATTCATCTACATCCCACAACCTTACATTGCTCTGAAAATCCAGAGACAGACGACACTCGTCCAGACCATCGAAAATGAAGAAAACGTTATATTCTCCACTGAATGGTCTCATTTCTTCAGTTCCAGGGAAAAACTTCTGCAAAAGATCTGAAAGACTCAGTTTTTGGTCCCATAACAAATTGAGCTCTCTGAAAGGAAGAGGAAATATGAGGTGGATCTCCTGATTCTCTTTCCCTTCAGCCCAGTCCAGGATGAACTTCTGCACAGAGACGGTTTTTCCAATGCCAGCGACTCCCTTTGTCAGCACAGTTCTGATGGCTCTGTCTTGTCCAGGTAAAGGTCTAAAGATGTCATTGCATTTAATCGGCGTGTCCTCGGTTGCTGCTCTCCTGGATTGTGTCTCAATCTGTCTCACCTCATGCTCATTACTGATCTCTCCACTCTCACTCTCTGTGATATAGAGCTCGGTGTAGATCTCATTCAGGAGTGAATAAGATCTTTGTTGCTCTGCTGTTCCCTCATACACATACTGAAACTTCTTCATCAGATTTGATCTAAATTTATTCACATTATATTAAAAGAAAAGTTATCATGAAAACATATAATCAGATTCATGAATTATGTCAGTACTTAAAATATGATGACCCATTTTCTTAAAAAAACCCAGCATAATTTATCTGACCTGAAAACATCTGGCTCACTTTTTGACTGCTTACGGATGGGTTCTGTTTCCTCTGGTCTGGGTGGCAGGAATGACCTTAAATATCATGAAGAGAAATTGGAGAAATTCTTATCATTAACTTAATAATTCTAGTTATTCACTGTTGTGAATGAACTTATCAACCAAGAAACTTTAGTTTTATTGTTCTTGACTTTTAATTTATAATTCCTCAATATAAATTCATCTAAACGGCCCTACTCATTTCTTAATGATTTCTCAGGAGTGACAAAACAAAGACAAATATTTTCACAGTATTCAAATAAGTAAAAACACACATTTTATGATTTCAAGGGGGTAAATGCTTATGTAAGCACCTGTTTTGAGTCCTTTTAACATTTAAAATTAATATAAAAATATAGCTGCAAGCAGCAAATGAGGGGCCAAGCACTACAGAAGCATGCAAAGCAGCAAACAGTAATTGAAACCATTTTAAGATGATTTTAGACAAAATGGCTGAAAAATCATAAATACAACCCCTAATAATATAATTTAATGGCTTATCACTTTTGACCAATAGGTGGCGCTGTTATCAAATCGGTGAGTTGTGTTCTGTGTGAGGTGACAATGACCCACACAAAGTTTGGTGTCAGTATGTAAAAGCTTTGCATAGATACAGCCTCGGATGCAGTTTGGCATCATTCCAGCAAATTTGTTGATGCGTTAAAAATGCATTACCTTTTTGTATATCGACACAAAAATCTATAACTTTTTGCCAGCCTGGTCTGAAGATGATCTGAGTCAAATTTGGTGAAAATCAGACAAACGGTCAAGGAGGAGTTAGAAAAAGTAGGGTTTTAACATGAAGCAAAATGGCGGACAGGAAGTTTGGCTGACTATGGCAAAATTGGTATCTTTGTTCTCGGCATGACCTAAAGAATATATTGAGACCAGTTTCATTACAATAGGTTAATATACTCAAAAGTTATTAGTATTTTTGGATATTTTGTTATAACTTTTGTCCACAAGGTGGCGCTGTCCAGAACATTTTTGAGTACCATCAGGGAATGGTGCCAAATGGGTATGGTATGACTCGGTATTCTGCACTGAATCTAAAGTGACCAGTTTTGTGATTTTTGGCCAAACTGTTCAGAAGTTTTAAGCAAAAATAAAAAAAATGCATATCTCCTGACCACTAGGTGGCACTGCACCGAAACTGTGCTGGTAGCCTCAGGTCTTGGTTATTTTAACACACACCAAGTTTCCTCTCAATACGCTAAACCATTGCTGAGATATAGCCTCACATGCATTTTTGCGTGCTCTTTGTCAAATTTGTTCACGTGTTATTTGAGAATGTCTTGACTAATCAAGTTGAATTCCATACATTTTTGCCAACATGGTCTGAAGATGATCTGAGCCAATTTAGGTGAAAATCAGACAAACCGTCCAGGATGAGTAAGAAAAAGTAGGTTTTTTGAGCTATTAAAAATTGCAAAAAATCTTGACCTGTAGAATTTTACATTTTGGTGTTCATTCTACTCTGCATGAGCCAAGGAATTAGAGGGAAAGAAATAATTTTGCTTCTAAATTGTACGGTTCGAAAGTTATTAGCATAAACATAAGTGAAACTTTGGACAAGTGGTGGCGCTAGAGAGTTTGAGTTAGAGACTCCAAACTTGCTATGGTTAATGTTGAGACTGTCCTCTATCTGTGTGCCAAATTTCATAACTTTCCGGCAAGCGGTTCTATAGGCTGCCATAGACACAAAAGTGAAAGAAGAAGAAGAACTCCAATGGATACAATAAGTGCCTCCGCACCTTCCGTGCTTGGCCCCTAACAAGAAAATGGTTAGCACCATAAAAACAAGAAAACACCATTGAAAACAAGACAGGAAAAAAACACTAAAAGCATCTCCATATTCTTATTTCATATATCCTCTCTGTATGTTTTAAATTTTCACAAATCTTTTCAAACTCTGACTACTCAGAAACCACTGGTTTAAGTTATTTGTACAAATGTATAAGAAAAGATCAATTTCAGATGCGAGATTTGCAAGCAGCCTCTGCATCAGCAATGAAACTACTAATATTGAATGTTAATTGATGTTGTTTATTGTCTAATTCAACTAAGGTGGTTTAATTGATTTATTAAAACTCTTGTTCATTGACAAGCATGCAGTCTGAAGTTTGTTCACCCAGGTCCACTAAGCTTTAGTGGATGATCCATAGACCAGTCACTCTTCACAGACACACAGCTGGACGAATCTGATATTTTCTGCTGGACTGAACTGAAACAGAGAAAAATAATATGTACTTTATATGTACCTATTATAAAAATGCCCTAATATTTTAATATCTTTTTACTAAATATCATTGATTATTTTCAAGTTCAACTAAGGTAGTCAGTTGATTGATTCAAAATGACTACTGTCCATTAACAAGAATGCTTTCTGAGAATTGCTCACCCAGGTCCACTAAGCTTTAGTGGATGATCCATAGACCAATCACTCTTCAAAGATACAAAGCTGGGTGAATATGATCTCTGCTGCTGGACTGATCTGAAACAGAGAAAAACAAACTTCATAAGAATGTTCTAATTACAGTTTTTCTGAATTGCTAAAACACATTTAAAACCTTAAACACAAATCCAAATACTAAAACTAAATTCACAAAACCTCTGACTCTTCCATCAAAATGAAACAATCACCGCAAAACCATTTCACTTGCACTCAAAATCAAACGGTGCTCTCAGATCACACACACATGAGTCAATAAAATAAACACTACAGAGCATTCATTAGACACTACAGAGAAAAATGGAGAACACAGCATCCAGAACATTACAGAAAAAAACTATATTGTATTGAGTAAATTTTGCAATTCTGTAAAAAAGTATAGTAATTGCAACTGAGTAAGGTGAATATATTGTATAGGCCTACTGTATGTACTGCAAGAATAGTATTGTGCTGAATATTGAATAGTACTGAATGTTTGTATATATTCAGCACTTGGATACTGCAAAAATATTGCAGTCCAACTGCAAAGGCCAAAAAGGTCAAATAAAACTCTAAATTAATAGATTGTTGCACTCAAATACTGTGTACAATCGTAAAATCCGGGTCAATGAGAGATTCATTCTGTCTCAGCATCATGTCTTTGTGCTTGAGTCCGGCCTGAGCACTTTGTCCACATCACAAGTAATGTAGTTTTTTTTGCTAAACAAAGAGAAAAAAACCCTCTGGTGTGACAGATCCAGCCTCGAAAACACTCTCTAAACCTTACTCTTTCTCTCCTCTCTCCAGTTTTAGCAATTCAGAAAAACTGTAATAGTGAGAAGTGGTCCCTATACTAAAGTGTTACCGTATTTATTACTAAATAGCAGCTGTTTTAATCTTGTAGAAATGGCAATTGATGAACAAATGTATACAAATAGATGCATTTCAGAGTTTAGATTTGTGTGTCCGCATTCAGCTGAATATTTCAATTGAAAATATGTAAATAAATTATGAGTAAAGATGGAAGAATCACTGTGTACATTGGGTTTGAAATACAAATGCATCAACAACAAAAATAATAATCTTAAAAGTAAACATTGATAACTGAGGTTTTTAATGCCGAGTTCACACTGCATGATTTTCAAACTCGTCGGATCGCCGTTGTTTTCACACTGCGTGATTATCTGGGGTAGCATTCAGTTGTTGCTGTGTTCACACTGCACGATGGATCGGCAACAGGGGGTTTCACATTGCATGACTTCACAATAGGAAGAATCGCCGACAGCTCTGTCTGGTGCAGGGTTGCCAGGTTTTCGGGACAAAACCCGCCCAATTACTACTCAAAACTAGCCTGAAAATAGCCCAATTGCTTTCGAGGGGGTCCCCCAGTAAAAATCATGTTCGGGGGTAAAATACATTTTTTTTGGCAGGGTTGTCCTGGTACAATTCACATTCCAGGGCCTAAATATCACGTTATTGGGGTCGCTTCAACCTGCTGACACAAAAAACAACCGGCAATTTGGCAACACTGGTTCGCAAACTACTTTTCATATAACTCCTCCCCGAACTTCCCGCTGCCTTGTATCTTGGTCTCTCATTGGCTGTAGGTAATCGCCGATGTGTTTTTCAGTCAGAACTAATTTCACACAATGTGATTGTGAATCGCCGACAGCTCCAGATATTTAGCATACCGAATATTTCATGGGCTTCGGCGACGTGTCGGCAATTCCCTCAGATCGCGTCTTTGATCATTCACACTGCGTGATTTTCACTCGCGTGAACGAGCACCGATTTGCCTCCGATTTCGGGCATTTGTTGGCGATTTCGCAAAACCTGTCGGCGAGTAAAAAATCGGGCTAAAATCGTACAGTGTGAACTCGGCATAAGGTAGTCAATTGATTTATTAAAACCGACTACTGTTTATTGACAAGAATGCATTCTGAAATTTGTTTACCCGGGTCCACTAAGCTTTAGTGGATGATCCATAGACCAATCACTCTTCACAGACACACAGCTGGACGAATCTGATATTTTCTGCTGGACTGAACTGAAACAGAGAAAAATAATATGTACTTTATATGTACCTATTATAAAAATGCCCTAATATTTTTATATATTTTACAGAGGTGCCATATTCCTGAGACCTGCTGGCCATGTGCCTCTACTAATTTTAGTGGATCATTCATAGATCAGTCATTCAGCACATAATCTGACCTTTTCTGCTGGACTGAATTATTAGAGAACAGATTCAGTTTCTTCATTTATATCACTGCAACCTAACAATACTGATGTTGCAAGACAACAGCGAGGACGAGGAGGATGAGAAAGACAAAGACAAGTAATATCAGATGAAATGTGTGCCACCCTAGTCCATCATGTGCTCATAAATGGGAGGACTATGAAAGAAGCTGGACAGCTAGTGTAACCGAACTTAAGCTGTTACATGGTTGCATCCATTGTACATACTTTTAGTAGGGAAAACAGGTAATTTGCTTTATTACTCTGATACATGCAATGCTGAAGTCCATATAGATAAAATCTCCAATTTGTTTTCAGTTTAGTTTATGCCACAGTTAAGGATGACCATAATTCAGTAATGGTCATTTCGTTTTTGCAGAACTGAGAGGTGGCCATCTATTGAGGTAGGAGAAGACTTCTCACAGCTGAGCAGGAGACTGCCCTGCTGAATATGGTGATTGCCAATAATTTGGGAAATTCAAGCTCAAATAGTTGGAAGACCAGGTAGTCTTCCAAGGAAATTACAGCATCAGCATTTCCACCATTGACCCGATCATTCGGAAGAACCAAATAAGGACAAAGCAGCTGTACTATGTGCCTCATGAAAAGTAACGTCTCGGTTACGTATGTAACCCTCGTTCCTTGAAGGAGGGAATGGAGACATCATGTTGGTGACCAACGAATTGGGATCTCACTTAGAGAGACCAATCTACTTTGAGTGTAAACTAAATGAGCCAATGCACATTGGCATGCGATGACTGCATCCAGCTGCCGCTGATCGCAGCGCGAGCATAATTAAAGCAACAGGTGCAACGCATAGTTTTTGTTGAGGAGCCAAGCCGGTGACCCGGCTGCTCAGCAGTAGTACAGCAGCTGTGGCGACTGATGACGTGATCGGTGACCGATGAATTGGGATCAGTACCAAAGCGCCATGGATGCTGCCCCTTCCAGTGTCCTGTGTGAGCCTCCTGCACCCCTCTTTTTGGTGTAGGCCGGCGCTCGCAACAAGAAGACCAGTCACTGTTGTCGTAGCACTACCCATTCAGTGAGATTGGATAACACTGGGAAAACGTACCCGTTCCACTTGGAACAGGAATGTTGTGGATGCCCCATCCTTCCCAAAGGAGGTTTCGGAAGCACTTACACATAGGAAAACCATTTAGGTGCATATGGAAGATTTAGAGGTGATTGCAACCCTCTTGGAAAATGGCAGAAAGTCTGCCGGGGAAACACGGCCTCTGAGCTATACCGTGGAATTTACACATATGGGATCCACTTAGGTCTCTACATATGGAACTCAGCCCTCTAAAGGTTCTCACAGATTCATCGAGTGACGGCCTGGTGCCGGACGTTCCGCCACGTCTGGCTGCCGAGGAGATGGAGGAGCTCGACAGGGTCGCCCAGCCTGCAGCTCTACAAATTTCTGTCAATGAGGCACCACGGGCCAGTGCCTAGGAGGAAGTAACACTTCTAGTAGAGTGGGCTCGCAAACCTGAGTGGGTAGGGCACACCTTGTGCCTGATAAGCCAGGGTGATGGCATCCACTATCCAGTGGGCCATCCTCTGCTTAGAGATGGCATTCCCCTTCTGACGGCCTCCGAAACAGACAAAGAGCTGATCTGAGGTTCTGAAGCTTTGTGTCCGGTCTACGTACCATCTCAAGGCTCGGACGGGACAAAGCAAAGCTATGGCTGGGTCTGCCTCCTCTGGGGGCAGCGCTTGCAGGTTCACCACCTGATCCCTGAAGGGAGTAGTGGGAACCTTGGGCAAATAGCTGGGCTGGGGCCTCAGGATTACCTGGGAGTCAGCCGGCCCAAAAAAAAAATTTTTCGACCAAAATCAGGTCCCCTACCCTCTTGATGGAGGCCACTGCAAGCAGGAGCAGAGTCTTCATTGATAGAAACATCAGCTCAACTGACTGCAAAGGCTCAAAAGACCTTGTACTGAAATGCTCGTCCTCCGAACGCAAACCGCAGGAAAGGTCTGTGGCACGGAAGGATCGAAACATGAAATCACGTGTCCTTCAGGTCGATCGCTGCAAACCAATCCTGGGGACAGATGCACCTGAAGATGAGCATCTTGAACAGTAGCTTGTGAAGGGCATCTGCAGGATGGACACCCCTGAACTTGGGAGGACGCCAGGTGAACTGAATCGCATAACCGAGTCTGATGGTCTGAAGGAGCCAACGAGACAGACTGGGCAGCACTAGCCAGGCTCCCAGATACCGTACAAGTGGCACCAACAGAACCACCGATGTACTAGCAGTGGGGCAGCGAAGAGGAACGCAGGGACCCGGCCCGGGCATCTCGTGGCCGGTCCGAAACAGGGTCTGAGAGTGTGCAACACTTACCTGCGTTCGGGCAAAGGGTGCGTGAGTAGTACATTTGATAGCACTCTTGAACCGCCCACTGCTGCTCACTGGTGAGAGAGTAGGGTGAGTGCGATCCAGGACTGGCCCGTCCACAACTCCCCGTCTCAGTCTCTGGGGACCCAGAGATAGAAGAAATTGCTCTTTTG